AAGGCACAAGATCCGCAGGGCACTCATTCTTGTTGGAGTGCTTCAATAGCTGCACTCTCTCTGTCAGCAATTGGCATTCCAGTTGAAGAATCTCATATGCTTCAATCAAGTAGTCATCTTTGATCAATCGTTCCGTTCGAATCCTTGCCTTTTCTTCTTTGGGAGGCTCTTCGGCCAGTAGCATGGCAATTTCTCTCATGTTTTGTTTCATGAGCGCCGACTTTTTGTTTTTGGCTACGTCAAAGCGGCTGCTAGCCAGCTTGAGTGCTGCTTTGAGCTTGGTGGCATCGAATCCTTTATTGTTGCTGAACATGGTTTATGATGCTGTTGATGCTCTGGTGGGGAGTTGTTCGAACACAGGTTGTTGTTGTTGTTTTGGTTGTTGTTGTCTTTGGTTGTTTGGATTTGTGGACGAAGAGCAGGATCGTCGCGAGGGCATTTCCGTTCCGCTTTGGTTCGTGCGTTGAGCCATTCCCGCGGCCATCAACATGGAAGCCACTCCCGGATTCTATTCGTGTTTCCTCGCAGATGATGAGCGCAACGAGAGACGGGTGATGCCAACCAGCGCCAGCTTCCAGTCATCAGCTGTGGGAAAAGGGTTCTACTCTAGATCGTTTGAAGAGCTTGGTACCAGTACTTCGTAACTAGCTGTAGGATGACCTAACTTTGGATGCAAGGAAGCGAAGCAAAGTGAACGGGTTGGAACGATGGCTGGGGTGCTTAGCTATTCTCTTCTGTACAAGCTTCAATCCGTACCGTGCACTTCGCTTCCCTCTAGCTAGCTAGCTAGCTAGCTAGCTAGCTAGCTAGCTAGCTAGCTAGCCAGCCAGTACTTGAGCAAGCCACAGGGGGGCTTCAAACCAACAGCCTGCATCCAAAACGTTTCTAGACTATTGTTGCGGCATCAAGCAAGGGAAGATGAAGATTCGATTTTAGCCTCAGCCTTAAAATGTTTTGGATCGATCATATTTTTAAGGCCAAGGTTACGTACTTGTGGATATCTCCAGGAGCGTTCCTCAATCGTGCATGAAACCGACCCTAAAATAGGGTCGGATTTAGGGTCGGATTCCCTTTAGGGTCGGGTTTCGAAACCGACCCTAAAAATAGGGACGTTTTCTGA